TGTGTATCTCTGAGACCTGATGGTCACCGAACCAATACACCCACGTCTGACCCTTTTTGGCCGCTTTTTGCTTACAATGCAAGTGAGATATGATAAGAGCCGGAAACCAAGTCTTATAGTTTGCAAGTGTTCCCCAAACAATGTCTCCGATTTCAAACTAAATGCACCATTTTTTCAGTCATTCATTTCAATTACTAATTAAAACACTTTTTTAAAACAATTATTACCTCATATTTACCAACCGTTGGACTCGATTTGGGCTTACGTTTCGTCTCAACTTTAGGCTCAGTTTTGATAGTTTCCGAAGAGACGAGTCTCTCGGGACGAGAGGTCTCGCGAAATCCCCGAACGCGTCTGTCCTCTAAAACTGACTAATTATTAAACAAATCATTAATTCCTGTATTCATTGGCTGTAAAATTATCTTATAATCAAAAGTGAATTACTGTTATATAGTTTACATAAAAAGAAAATAAATATTAATTTCTAATAAATGATTGAATGCATGAATTATGTATTACCTAAATATCAATGACAAATGAATTGTTTCAAATATATTGGATACTCTTTAAGACATTTAAAACATATATACAATTAAATCTCGTGTTCGGAGATCCGGAGGGATAAAAAAATTGAGTTAAATGCTGGGAGTGAAATGCAATTGATCATGTGTTAAAGTTGAGTCATAGTCACTCATTTCATGATTTCATAATTGTTACCATCATTTTAATACTCATACAATTATTTGAACGATTGGTTCACACAATCAGATAATCAATTATTAATTTGAAAGATTATATTTAGAAATGCTTAGCGACTGATAATGTAATGAATCGAATGATTACTTGATATGTTATCAATATTTATAATAATGTAATAGATTTGCAATCAATTTAGAAATGATAGCAAACTATAGCTAACAAAAGGATTATAAGTAATGATTTGTTCACCTGATAGTAGTCGACTTGTGTGGGCAATAGTCTGAGTCCATACTTCCCTCTCTGCAAGGGATTGACGTCTTGAGCGCTGGAAGTGTCTCTACTGTTAACCAATTTAGGTTTCTTTGCCATCGGTTCGCAAGTTTTGTGCAAAATTTGTCTCACATTTTGTGACTTTCGCTTTGATTTCGTAATTTTCTCGCCATTTATTACATTTGAATGAATAGTCACTTCAATTGTAAAGCAAAGCATTGATTAATACAAACATTTGTGTTAGTTTAACTTATGTTTTGACCAAATGTAAACTAACCTAAGTTTCAGAAGAGAAACCTAAGTAACGAGTCTAGATTGCCGTGAAGGCTACTTCTGTAACGTGAGTTTTACATTTGGACTTTTGTTTACCATTGATTGTCACGAAATGCATATATAATTAGCCATAAATTCAAATCAATTGATCCCAAGAAAAAGTAACAAATATTTAATTGAATCAAATGTTTAATACGTTTTAATGAATGCAATGTAAGAGTGGTTTGCAATCATTGCGATCACTGTTTGCTTACAATTAAGTGTTGTCGCGATTTATGCCAAACAATGAGTCGATTGTGTGTTAATTGTGGTCAAAATGAGTCAATTATTTGACAATTATATCAATTGAATGTTGCAATCATTGCGATCACTGTTTGCTTACAATTAAGTGTTGTCGCGATTTATGCCAAACAATGAGTCGATTATGTGTTAATTGTGGTCAAAATGAGTCAATTATTTGACAATTATATCAATTGAATGTTCACATCAAATATTTACTGTTATGTCTGTCAACATAACTCACTACTCAGCTCTGCTGTACAATCGCTGCCCTATTTCTCTATACAGTGAGTACAGCGTGTATTGTAATCGAGTTCACTATATTATAGTGTACTGTATTATAGAGGAGTGCAATCAAAATCAATACACGAAACAATGCAGTTACGAATGCAGTTATGAATCGCATATTTGTATTACAATTATTTGTCACTCTTTTATAATGAATTAAATATTCAGTTATACAACACTTCCCATAAATACTACTCCACAACACATAGTGGGGGTGGAGGTAGACATGGGGTAGACATGGGGTAGGGGTTCACTTGCATTGGCTTATTTGCTTGGCTTGGCTAATATCCTCAATATTTGCATCAAGTTCATTTTTTACCACAATTTACAATGAATACTAAGCCATTTCAATAAAAAAGTTCCTTTTCTCAATAACTTTAGAATTAATCATGATAATTTGGTTCTGTTTTCAGTTTCTAATAACACTAGTCTACTTATCCTATAAAATGTATCATGATTAATTAAAATTTAGAGAATTTATTTTTCAAAAAACCGAAAAAAATTGTCCAAAAATTTTATTGGAATAGGAAAACGTTTTCCTTGTTTGATAAAAGTCACAAGTGTCTATGTAATAATGATAGCTACACATCTCCTCTATAATATCAATATATAATTTTGTCTCACCAAGCTCAATCTTCAGCATCACTCATAGTCTTAGCATTTCCCATGTTAAACCTATGTCATAGACTCAGCATTGCCCATTTCATTACAGTTAATATTAACGATTAGTATAATATTTATTGACTAATGTATTTGTTTAACAGTAAAACATGTTTTTAAATTCAATAAAGTATCATATTAAACGATTTATAGATGAATTGTGGCTAAAAATGATTTTATCAAACAATAGTCAATTACTTTTATAATGGATATTATCAATTACAATTACAAAGATTTTGGCATTCATACAGCATTTAAACGCAACTTTTAAATTTTTATTAACAAATAATTTACAAAATGACTTAAATTAAATTNACAGCATTTAAACGCAACTTTTAAATTTTTATTAACAAATAATTTACAAAATGACTTAAATTAAATTAATTCATAAGATTTAACAAAATCTTCTTCTCTATTATGTCTAAGCATGTTATGGACCATCACTTATGGTATTTATATTCATCGATTGGTCGCATTTTTTGTCTTATTTTCCCAATTTTAACACATATAAAGATTATATAAAGAATTTTGCGGCGCAAACCTATTTTCATAAAATATATATTTCAAACAGGGAAATGGATAACATTACTTTTTAGTCATTCAATTAAAAGTAATTAAATTGATATACTGTATAAAGAATAATAGTGTTAATTCTCTCGGTTTTACGTTTGAAACAGATTTGCATTGATTTTGATGTCAATATCATTGCATTCTCTACATGTTTATCAGACAACAGTCAAACTTATTAAAATTCTATGTACAAATGACCTATACTCAATTTCATCATATATTATTGGTCACATTGGTGATGCTTAAAATGTGATCATGGCATACAAAAATACTTCAAGTATACACAACATGAATGTATAGAATGTGCATGATACATAGCAATGATTAACATAATCATAATAATATGCGCGTTGTGTTAATTATGCTTAATTGTAGTCATAATGATTAGGGCATAATCGGTATATTCTGTGGACAACACAATATATTGACATACTTTGTGTAGCTTTGATGTAAACATTGGTTCATAACATGAATTGACAACTCATTCAATGAAATGAGTGTTTGATTTAAAGTAATTTAATTCACTTTGAATTGCATTTGAATCGTAAGACAAAACCTAAACAAATGAATAGTATATTAGTATTGGATTTGTGGCAAAGGGTTGACAATAGTTTTGCTCCCATTTCTCAGAAACAGTTGAATTTCATCAACAAATTGGACGCAATCTCTCATAACAATCAAGTATTGCATTATTGGATTCAATTATCATTACTTTATAACTAATTGTAATCATATTTACAGTCAAACCAATCAGACAGCGATCGGCAAACAGTTGTGGCCACAGATAGCGACCCATTAGTGCCCGACTTCAGCCATTTATACCACGTTTGTATTGTTTCAAACAATTTACAAATTATGTACAAAAAGTTTTATAAATAATTGCATTTGTATTGTATTTGAATATATAGTTTGACGACTGGTTTGAAAGCATTGAAACACATTTTGTTAATCAATACGACTCCCGATTCAAGTGATTGTCGTTTAATTAGTTTTATTGTGTATTTAATTGTTTGTATTATATTTGCAGAAAACTATTGAATTATTACTCGCAATGCAAACAACTATTAGAAGACGTGAATTCATGTCTAACATATTTGGATCAACTGAGACAACAGTACCTTTCGGTGTCTAATAAAACCAAAACTCTTCACACCTCTTGTGAACAACTATTACAACAACAGGTTTTTTGATATTTTAATCCATTAATTGCCAGAAGAGATAATAGAAAGTTATATTGATTTAAAGCACGGACTTATAGTAGCGGTCGAGACAATCAGCCAGAAGTTGATGTATTTCAATGAACTTCAGCCCATCTCTAAGGTATGCATCGATTGATTGCTTAGATTGTATTTAATTGAGACAATGTATGAGCAGAAGCTGTCGGCGCCGACAATGCTTGTGCTGAACGAGTCATTGATGCCAATGCTGTCACGTCTGGACGAATGCATCGCTTATTTGGAGTCGAAGAAGAATTACAGGGAATCGGAGGTGTATTTGAAACAATTCCAACACTTGCAGTCACAGGCGCTGTCAACCATCAGGACTCACGTGATTAAGACATTGGAACAGACGTCGCAACAAGTGATGCCCGAAACCAAGGATGCGTTGACACCAAACGACAGTGTCTTCACTTTATTTTACGGCAAATTTCAGACAAACGCTCACAGAATCAAGACTTTAATGCAACAAATAGAGGAACGCACTCAACAGTCGCCTCTGTATGCGATCAACATTTGTCATAATTATGGATAATTAAGTGTTGCCTCAAATGCAGATATAGCCAATACCTGTCGGAATGCCATCAGTGCTACTTCACAGCCAGAGAGTCATTGATAGGTCCGGTGCTGTCGTTGGCTATTGACGAGATGGTGGCCTCATATCAGCGCAACTATTGTCAGCTGATTAGGAGCTCAACGAATGTAGTGATCCATATCTGTCAGGACGAATATCAACTTTTTTTTCAATTCTTCACTCAAACAACACCTTTATTGAAGTGAGTCTTACAGTGAATCCAATATCAATGCTTACGATAAGTATATTTCTAATGACTTGTTTTCCAAATACAGCGATTTCTTAAACAAAAATTGTCAGAAACTTTATAACACATTAAGACCAGTGGTTATCCATTTGGAGCATTTGGAGTCTCTCTCAGAAATTTGCTATATTTTGAAGAATGAAATGATTGATGAGAATGTCATAAATCAATGTATGTATCAATACTTATACCAATTATAATACAAATTGTTTTCATTAATTATCAGCTCAAGAATTGGAGCCATTTATTCAATCAGTGGAGCGTTTACTACAGGATACACAGGAGCGACTTGTCTATCGGTCCAATATCTACATTCAAAGCAATATTATAGACTACACTCCCTGTGCCGGTGATCTCGCTTACCCTGAAAAGCTTGAAATGATGAAAGTATGCCTTAAATTATATTTTGTAATCAATATACCGGTAATAATGATCTCTTTGTGATCAGAGTATTGCACAAAATCTGGTCGACACTAAAGCAGACGAAACAAGTGATACTCGATATAGAAGTCGTTCCGATTCTGTTTCTTCTTCGCTTTCGGACATATCTTTTGTGACAAACGATAGGAATTATGACAAATCAAAGAGAGAAATAAATAGTAACTGCAATGTATTAACCCTTTGACAGTTTGTTCATTTACTTTTCGTTCAATATAAGGATCACCGGCTGATCTGCACGGCATGTGGTATCCCACTGTCAGACGTACTCTCGTCTGCTTAACAAAACTCTATCGTTCATTAGATGTAAGTTTTAATACTTTTAAACATTTATTAAACATTATATTTTATACGGCAATTGATTTTATTGTATATTAGAAGTCGACGTTTCAAGGCCTGTCTCAAGAAGTATTGGCCGCTTGTATTGAATCACTTGATTTAGCCCACAATCAAATCACTAGAAGAAAAGTTTGTTTGATTTATAGTGAAATTTATAATTTTTAAAAACGCTTTATAAACTCATTTCAGACTCTACTCGACGGACAGCTGTTTTTCATAAAACATTTGTTGATAATTCGTGAGCAGATCTCACCCTTTCATATAGAGATTACTTTGAAAGAAGTTTCACTCGATTTTAGCCGCACAAGAAGTTTGTATATTTTATACCAATTGTTGACACACTGTATATAAGTTACTAAAACTGTTTCATTGAATAGCGGCTGCATTTGATTTATTGCAAAAACGACAAAATCTGTTTGCTTTGACTACAAATAATTCTTTATTGAAGTTCTTATTTGAGGTATTTGTAGACAAATGTTTGATTTGAGAATAAATGACTAAATCATAACTAAATGATAGGGCGCTCCACAAGTGACTGAGAAAGTGGTTGACTCCCAAAAAGCTGTCGACAATAAAATTAAGATCAAATGCGAAGAATTTATATCACATTCCACTCAACTCCTGATTTCATCGCTCATTAATTTGATAGAATTGTCGAAAGTTCTCCAAAAGGATAATCAATTAAGAAGTCATCAAATGTTTAGTTCTACAGAAAATGTCAAAAAAGCAATCGCCGAAGTGATGGATCAACTGAGGGCCAACTTAGCTTTTGTTGAATCCAGAATGGCTTTATATTTAGCCAATAGAGACACCGAAATCATACTTTTCCGTCCCATTAAGGTATGACTTTTGAAACCACTGTTTGTTTTTTAATAATTTCTAAATTGTTTTTTAGGTTAAAATTCAACAAAATTTGTCAGATTTAGAGAAATTGATTGAAAAGCATTATTCCGAAACCGAGAGGCAAGAGATTTGTTTACAAAAATTAATTGAAATTGAATACCAATTGAAATAAATTTATAACTTATTAAATGTTAAAACATTTTTTGCAATTTATTTAATCGTATAATTTCTAAGCAACAAAAGTATTGTTAGGAATGGAGTTTTGATGCGCTCCTCAAGTGACTGAGAAAGTGGTTGACTCCCAAAAAGCTGTCGACAATAAAATTAAGATCAAATGCGAAGAATTTATATCACATTCCACTCAACTCCTGATTTCATCGCTCATTAATTTGATTGAATTGTCGAAAGTTCTCCAAAAGGATAATCAATTAAGAAGTCATCAAATGTTTAGTTCTACAGAAAATGTCAAAAAAGCAATCGCCGAAGTGATGGATCAGCTGAGGGCCAACTTAGCTTTTGTTGAGTCCAGAATGGCTTTATATTTAGCCAATAGAGACACCGAAATCATACTTTTCCGTCCCATTAAGGTATGACTTTTGAAAACACTGTTTGTTTTTTAATAATTTCTAAATTGTTTTTTAGGTTAAAATTCAACAAAATTTGTCAGATTTAGAGAAATTGATTGAAAAACATTATTCCGAAACCGAAAGGCAAGACATTTGTTTACAGAAATTAATTGAAATTGAATACCAATTGAAATAAATTTATAACTTATTAAATGTTAAAACATTTTTTGCAATTTATTTAATCGTATAATTTCTAAGCAACAAAAGTATTGTTAGGAATGGAGTTTTGATTTCGATGAGACGACTAGTCTTTTGTTATATAAGTATAACTCAAAACTTTATCAGTTGTTTAAATGGCAGTGAAATATCATTGAAAAGAAATGCGAATTATATTACATAACAATTAATAAATATCTGACCGGTTTTGGCAGTGATTCCTATCCGGCAGTGATTTTTCACAGGGATTTGATATTTATATATATATTTTAAAGCTTTGTTTTTTCTAAACAATATCACTCGGTTTTGATTTGTTTTAAATATAATAATTAAAACTCATTACAAAATTAATAAATAAAATTGTTTGTTTTGTAAATGACTGATTGTTTTAACAATAAAATCACTAAAAATCTGTCAAATCTTTGAAAATCGGATTTAAAGTGAAACCGAAGGCACTGTTTGAATGCTATAACGGTTTGTGGTGTTTATAACAACAATAATTGGTTTTTTGTATTTGTGATTAAATTAGGCGTCAATTAAAATGAATAAAAATTACAAAAGCTTTTGTTTAAATTCCTGTACAAATAATTATAATAAAATCTTTTTGCTATAATTTGATTAAAAAGTTGTGTAAAGGCTTTAATTAACTAAAAACACTAGAGATTTACATGTGATCAGAAACTGGTGTTCTTAATGCAAACCGAACATCGGCTCACTTTTGTCCTAAGATTACCGGCTTTTAGTGTTTCACTGATGGGTCGTTCAAACTGGGACTGAGTCTCGACTGTTGTTAACCAGAAACTAAACTTATTGGCGAAGTAATGACAGGTCCCGCGCGCGCCGTTGCACTCTATGAACGGCGTCGCCCGGAAGTCCTCCAAACAACTGCCCGGACTCGACAACGACTGACCCCCGCCTTCAGCGCCCGCAGCCGTGTGCTAGTGATCCGTATTAGAGGGCAAACAACGCGTTAACATTTGTGGCTAATGTCTAAACAGTTGGTTCAAACAAGTCATACCATTGCAAAACTATACCCAATCCAGAGTGATGTCCAACTCTGAGGACAGTCGGGAATATCGAGTGACTGACTGTGGACTGCGATTACATTTGCCGGCGCTTCGCACACAACACATCGGCTTATATATTGTCTGATGGCCTCCTCTCCGACCGGCATCATTGGGATCGGAGCGTTGGTCGACAGCCAATAGGATTTGTCGTTTCTCGAGGCATAGTTGCAAACACTATTGAAGTCACAGAACAGGAATGGCATTGTACTGAATCTTCGCAGACAAGAACCAGCAAAGCCTGTATAGACAGTGACAACAGTTAAGCTTAAATGTAAATCAAATGATCACAAGTGTTGAATGCAGACCGAGATCTTGATTGTGTGCCTTTTCATTGCCCTCAATGTATAGAAGACTATATCCGTCCCATATTTTATCCATATTTTGCGGACATTCAGGTGCGGCGGCCGACTGGCTGTGACGGACCAGAAGTATTCCCATTAAGTAATCGCCGCCCGATGATCCGGGAGGACCGGGATATCCCGACGATCCCTTCAGTCCTTTCATTCCGGGAGCACCCGATAAGCCGGCAATTCCACGCTCTCCTTTTATTCCGGGCAAACCCGGCAGACCCGGCAAACCTGACTGTCCCGGTCGGCCGTATTCTCCTTTCATTCCTGTACATTAATATTTGCATAATTTGTTTAATTTGTATTTAAAATTGCAATTTATAACTCCAATACCTGTCAATCCTGATGGTCCGGGCAGACCCCTTGGTCCTAAAACAATATGTAAAACATTTTTAGTAAAATAAGTTACTATTTGAGTGTAACTCTTGGTCAAGTGGAATACCCTGAAGTCCTGGATCTCCTCTCTCTCCTTTGACGTTATAAATGTTATCCAAAGGTATGGACCCCTTCTCACCTGTCAATACATTTCAATACAATATTACAATTCATTAATATTATATTTTTAAAAAATCCAAATATTATATGGACTAACCCTTTGTTCCCATCACTCCTTTAATTCCTGTGAGTTTACAATGAAATCATTAAAATCAAGAAAAGCATTGAATGGCAGGAATGGACTGACCGGGAAGACCAGAGATGCCAGGAATGCCATCGTAGCCCCGATCACCTTTAAGACCGGGCAAACCGGACGATCCGGGATAACCGGCGATTCCTTTGTCGCCTTTGAATCCGGGCAAACCCGGCAGACCTTTGACCAAAACATTTGTCAATAACACAATTATAGTAAAACAAATAATAAGAATAGATGTCTACCGGGAGAACCGGTCGGTCCGGGTATTCCATCGCCAGAACTCGGAGGTCCGGGAAATCCTCGATCACCTGAAAAGTCAATTATATTTGTTAAATGTTAGGCGAAATACAACTAATAAACAAACCTTTGATTCCGGGAATCCCTGGGAGTCCGTCGTCCCCTTTATATCCGGGCTCACCATTACGTCCGGGCAGTCCGGAGGAGCCGGGATGGCCCCGTTCGCCTTTGGGACCGGCAACTCCGGGAAGTGTTGAATCTCCGGGCGGTCCCCTTAAACCGGGTAAACCAGGCATTCCTGAATCACCCTTTGGACCCAATACACCGGGAATGCCGTCCTGTCCGGGCACTCCCGGCAGACCCGGCAGTCCTTTTTCACATATTTCACCCGGAGGTCCATCGAGTCCGGGATCGCCTGACGTGTCATATATTAGCAAATTATTTGGCGTTTAGATAAGAAATAGTGTTTAGACAAACCTATGGGACCCGAGGGGCCATTCAAACCCGGCTGTCCATCAAAACCTGGCGGTCCATAATTGCCTTTAAGTCCGGGCAGACCCGGCAAACCACCGTTCCCTCGATCGCCCTTAAGACCCGGTAGACCCGGAAGTCCTGGAAAACCTGACATTCCTTTACTTCCCTTATCAGCGGTTTGTCCTAAAATTTTAAAATTCAAAAACCAATTATTTTATATTTTAAATCTATTGCTAAGACCTGGAAATCCTGGATCTCCTTTATGTCCTGCCAGTCCGGGCAGACCCGATAGTCCGTCAGTTCCTCTGTCGCCCTTCAGTCCTGGCAGACCAGGAATGCCAGATATTCCCATATCCCCCTTCAATCCTGGTAAACCTGGGGTTCCGTCAAACCCTTTCGGACCAATGGGTCCGGGAAGGCCCGGTAGACCCGACGGTCCGGGAATCCCTGATAAACCCTTAATTTGAACAATTATTATAATATATTTGCAAATATTAATTACAATCATACTTTATCTCCTTTATATCCGGGAAGACCTGGCAAACCGCCATCGCCTTTGATTCCTGGCAATCCGGGTAACCCGGGGTATCCATCTATTCCTGAATCGCCCTTTCTTCCCTGAAGTCCGGGCAAACCAAGGCCTGGCAATCCTGGCTCTCCTTTCATTCCTGGTAAACCACTTAAGCCTGAGCTTCCGTGTGGGCCCGGTTGTCCTGGGAATCCCGGCATTCCGAGATCACCCTTATCTCCTCTATATCCTATATCACCGGACACTCCTGGCACGCCTGGAGGTCCTGGAAGACCTGGGTCACCTACACATCACACATACACCAATAATTGTTAGAACTATATTTACTGTTTTTTACAAATTTATTGAATAATACCTTTTATTCCGAATAATCCGGGCTTTCCCTCGGGTCCGGGCAAACCATTCAAACCTCTGTCGCCTTTAAGGCCGGCTAATCCGGAGGGACCGTCAAAACCTGGGGGTCCCGGAAGGCCTGGAATGCTGTCTCCTTTTATTCCTATTATTAGAATTGTTTTAATAAATGAATGAATGATTGAATGAATGAGAGATTTGTTGCCTCTATTCAGCATATTTTGTGTTTATTTTGGATTCAATGAGTAAACAAACCTTTAGTGCCCGGAATTCCTGGTAAGCCATCGTTTCCTGGAAATCCAGGATTACCATGTGGGCCGTCCAAACCGGGCAGACCTGGAAGGCCGGGAATGCCACCATCGCCTTTTATTCCCGGTAAACCTGGAATACCCGGGAGACCGATATCACCTTTGTATCCAATTTGACCTGATTTACCAAAAAAGGGTGAATTAATAAATATATAATAATAAAGAACACAATAAGTGTTATTATTCTAAAGGGATAAAGAAATTGTAGATACCTTTTGGTCCGTCACGGCCTGGATTTCCTGGAGGGCCTTCAGGTCCGGGATAGCCATCGACAGCCCTTTCGCCTAAAATAATAGCAATTAAAATATATACTAAATGGAAATTTAAAACTCAAACCTTTGTCTCCTTTATGCCCGGGAAGACCCGGTAGACCAGGAAAGCCGACGTCTCCTTTCATACCAAGAATTCCCGGTAAACCTCTTTCACCAGAAAGTCCTGTCGGTCCGGACAGTCCCTGTTCTCCTTTTATTCCTGCAAATCCAGGTAAACCCGGCTGACCCGGACGGCCAATACCAGGCAACCCAGAGTCACCTTTTATTCCTATTAAATTAATTAATTCATTAAAACCATAAATGTAAGTTGTAACTTATTTATAATTTATACCTGGTAGTCCTGGTAATCCAGGTAGTCCCGAATCTCCTTTGAACCCTGAGTCTCCGGGGAAACCCATCGGACCCTTTACACCCTTGTCACCCGACAATCCCGGCGGTCCTATTGGAAGGTAATTGAAATGTTCAAAATAATCATTCATTTATGTTAACAGTAATGCATTAATCATTACCTCTCAATCCGGGAGGACCTGAGAGTCCATCCTCTCCTCGTTCCCCTTTAGCACCCCTAAGGCCTGACAGTCCATCCCTTCCCGGGGCTCCGGGCAAACCCGGAAGACCAATGTCTCCCTTCGGTCCGACGTCTCCGGTCAGACCCGGCGGCCCGACAGGCATTGTTAGGTTCTCTCCCGGTTTGGGAAGTCGTCCTATGGATGAGAATTGTGAGCAAATGACTGTTATGTTTGCCAAATAAATCCAAACCCGGCTCTCCTTTTAAACCCGGTCTTCCAGTTAATCCGAGGTCACCCTTTAGACCAATAGGTCCGGGAACACCTGTAGCGCCTGGCCTTCCTATTCCCGGATCACCTTTCATACCAGGAAAACCTGGCAGTCCGGGCAACCCTTGCCGACCTGGATCTCCAGGAAAACCCGCAAATCCCTATAAAATTTGTGAATTAATTAAAGAATACCAAATCTTTTAACACACAAACAGATGAGACAACCGATAAGCTCTTAAAACATGTTCAACAAGACATTCATATAATTAATTCACTTTCAATAAGATTTATTACAAAATACTCTGTATTTAAGTTTTGAAAGTTGGAAAAACTAGAGAATAGATCAAAATGTAATGATTTGATGATTATATTTTAATTTATTACTCAATTCTAGTAAAACTTTTTAAAAGCAATAAATTATTTAACATTTACAAACAAAAAAGTATTTATTGCACACCAATAGATTTAAATACAAAAACCAAGTTGCTTGTAATACCAATCATTATATTATAAACACAAAATTTTTATTAATTTAAAAACAAAATATATTTTACCTTGCATGCTTTGGTTTGAAATTTTATGTAATTAATGTAAAACAATTCTATTAAAAATATTGTGTTGAATTTTAAACGTGTTAATTAATAAATATATTATTTAAAACTTTTATTAATAAAAGTTTATTTTAATATTTAGAATTAAAAAAAAGTATAGTTGTATTTATATATCAATTTAATAATTGAATTATTTCAAGGTAAATTACCGAAGAGTACAACAATACCCGTCGAATCCGTCGTATCCGTCATATCCTTCGTATACAACATATAACAGCACTCCATGTGTTGGTTGTGTTCACAATCAATGCAAATGTAGTGGAGATAAGGGCTCTCGGGTTTGCAATTTACCATTTAATCAATAATTGGCGCTTTTAACTAATTCACACTTGAAATAGGGTCCACCGGGTGTTCCCGGACCAATTGGAGCCCCCGGACTGTCCGGACATTCCGGACCCGAAGGCCTTACTGGCGATAAGGGAGATAAAGGCGATTCTGGCAATTCTGGACTCAGAGGTCTAAAGGGTGACCGTGGTAAAATGGGAATGCCTGGATTCCCTGGCATTAATGGAATACCAGTTTGTTTGGATACAGTTATATCTAGAACATAGTAAAACATAGTTTAATTAATGTAGGGCGTTCCCGGGCCATCGGGACCACGCGGGCCACCCGGTCACGACGGGTGCAATGGTACCGATGGTTTGCCAGGACTGCCGGGAACTCATGGCAATGATGGACCGCCCGGTTTACCCGGAAGGCACGGACCGCAAGGTTTTATTAATTTATTGTATTATATAAAATATATTATATTTATTTAAAAATGTTTGCAATATTTATAAAACATATATTTCAGGACAAAAGGGAGAGCCAGCTATTGGACCGCCGGGTCTGAAAGGACTTAAAGGTGAACCGGGAAGGAATGGATTCCCGGGAGAGTCAGGAATACCTGGTTCTGATGGTTTGCCCGGAGCCCGAGGAGATGCGGGACATATCGGACCATTTGTAAGTCATGTTAACTATTAAAGCGATATTTAATTGTTTTAATTAAATTTTAGGGTCAAAAAGGAGAGACAGGATTTATAGGCCCTAAAGGTTTGCCTCAAAGGATTGTATGTGTTTTATAAATTACATTAAATGTTACGTTCATTTATAAACAGGAAATCCAGGCATTGGTTTTGAAGGCAGAAAAGGAGATCCAGGAGACAAAGGACCTCCAGGTCCACCTGGTAGTAATTGCACCTATTATACCGGCCATCCCGGCACTATTATTGGACCCGCGGGACCCAAAGGAGCCAAAGGCTTAAAGGTATAGTCATTCCTAAAATATTAATTTTTAAAATAGTTTTTTTTGTTAAATAAAATTTTAAATAAATTTTTTTAAATAATTGCAAATGAAAGGGAGACTACGGAGTGGCCGGAGAGCGTGGTTACGATGGCATCCCCGGCATAACGGTATGTCATTGTCTGTAAGCATTCACTGTTCATAAAACTCAATATTTACTGAAACATAGGGTCCGACTGGAGATCTGGGAATGAAAGGAGAAAAAGGATTACCCGGACATCCGGGTCCGCGCGTATGATTTAAATACTAATAGTTTGTAAGAATTGGATTAAAATATAGCACTTGAAGGGCAAAGAAGGCTATCCCGGGCCTCACGGAAGTGTTGGATTCAAAGGAGATCGAGGAGAACCAGGTTTGCCCGGATTAGATGGCGTTTCCGGCACAAAGGGTGACGCAGGGCTTTCAGGAATTCCCGGTCAACGCGGACTACTGGGCCCTCCCGGCCCACCAGGGGTTCGAATTTTATCAGTTGTAAAAATTAATATAATTAAAGAGTTCACAAACAGGGAGTTGAAGGAAGAGCGGGACCGCCAGGACTTCAAGGACCGCGAGGATTCCCTGGATTACCGGGTGTGCCCGGAGCTGATGGATTACCCGGTATATTGCAATAATTAATTGGGAATTAACAATATTAAACTCAAATGTGCTAATCTAGGTTTAATTGGTCCACGGGGTCCACCTGGTCAATCTGGAGGGCCCGGAATCCCTGGTTCTCCCGGAAGAGAAGGACCGATTGGGACCAAAGGTATTGAATATATAAACCAATAAATAAATGGCAGGAAATTATATAAAAGTATTTGACAAACAGGTGATAAGGGCGACGGCGGACTGCCTGGCCTTCCAGGACTTGAGGGACCAACAGGTTTACCCGGAATATATGGTTCAAAAGGAGAACCAGGGTATTAATGCACTCAATATAACCATAATTAATACAATTTAATGTTTCAAAACAATTAAAATATGACTACTTTATAGACCAAAGGGAACGCCTGGCTTTTCTATACCCGGACCAAAAGGTACACAATTTGATTGCAATTAGTTTAACAAAAGATTTTATTCTTATTTAAAATGGTTTTGTTTGATAGGATTGGATGGAATGCCAGGACTGAATGGTTTACCGGGAAAGAAGGGTGACCATGGGCCTAAAGGAGAAATTGGAACACCGGGTGAGCTTTGGCCATATTCATTTTAGTTATAATTAATTTCAATGACTAAAATGTGCATAATATGAACATTCAGGCGATTCAATCGATGGAATACCCGGATTGCCCGGAATTGCCGGATTTAAAGGTATGTTTAATCATATCAAAAGTCACACTTTAATTTAAACATATGTTGCATTTAAAGGCGATGCTGGTCATCCTGGACTTTCTGGTAGACCCGGACTTCCAGGTCTCCCCGGGTTTAAAGGTTAAGCACATTATTTTAAATGCATATAAATAGAAATTAATGATTACTAAAATAACAGGAGATAAGGGCGGCTCGTGTTTGTCATGTATTCCCGGCTCGAAAGGTGTGTTTAATTATTTGTAATTCTTATATAAATATTAATAAAACTAATGATTGAATTCTAGGAGAAAAGGGTGTCCGAGGTTTTGATGGATTGCCTGGTCTTCAGGGAGACAAAGGAGAGAGAGGACCCCTCGGACCGCACGGTCTGCGCGGCGACGACGGTATCCCTGGTTTGCCAGGAATTCCCGGCGAAGAAGTATAAAAATATATCATTTAATTTTATAAACAGAGAATTGCATTTAACTATAACAACTATTTTTATCGGGTAATAGTATTCCCCCAGACTCGGGATGTGAACCGATCATATATTGGGAGTCAGTTTACCGAATGTTTATTTTAATTATATTTAATTATTTGAGGCGTTTTTAACTATTTCGTAAAATTGAGTGAATTTTAATGTAAAAACAGAAATATTTGAGATAGAATAGAATTTTATAACTATTTAAGTAACTATTTGGGTCTTATATTTATCTACAATGCAATTCTTTGCACATAAATATTGCATATAAATTATACAAATAATCCAATTTTAGGGAACCCCAGGTCTGGCCGGAAGAGATGGCATTCCAGGAGCCAAAGGAGATCAGGCGGTGATTCCGCCCGATTTTATTCCCACCAAAGGTTTTACATTTGTTGCATAAATTGTATTAAAAATAAATTGAATGAAATACTTGTTCAGGCGTGAAGGGTGAGTCAGGATTACCAGGTACGGATGGTCCAGCGGGTCGTGACGGGAGTTCAGGCCCGCCCGGTCTGCCCGGACAGATGGGCCAATCCGGACATAAAGGAGATAAGGTTTGTATTAAAATCTCAATTTAAATACTTTGGTATTCTTTAATTAATTCACAAATTTTATAGGGATTTGCGGGTTTTCCTGGAGATCCAGGTCGGCAAGGGTTGCCCGGACTGCCAGGTTTTCCTGGTATGAAAGGTGATCCGGGAATAGGAAG